CTCTGATTCATCAACAGTGCGTAAACAACCGTGTAAATGGTAAAAAGTATGACTGATTGATTGCATTCCAATACCAGCAGAACTTAGTGGTTCCAACGGAGTCTGCATCTCATTATCACTTGTAAGCCGTGGTAAAAAGGGTTTGAAGACTCAGGAGTACCCAATGAATAGACATTCTACAATTAGAGTTTATTAATCTCCATTTCGTGCCACAATGATCATTTATTCAATGTTTCCTTGAACCGACCTGTTTGCCCATGTTTATAGTAGGAGCCAAAGTTGTTACACGATAAAACAACTTTATCCAAAGAAATATTCAATTCATCTCTCGGGTAAGGCGGTTTCCGAGGCAGGTCACCCAAGCTTGAAATATGACCGGCCATCGGCATTTTTTTGTAACCCCCAGTTCGGTATACGAGAATTTGTAAGGAGCAAACATGATTGTTTCTTTGCTCTACGAATGTGCAAGGATTTGAATAAAAACCAGCTTGATATTAGTTACAGCTATCACTCCAAATTAAATAAAAATAAAACCCATAAAGTGGCCATAACAATTTAGGAAAGAAGAAACACACAACATAAGTGACGTTAACCAATTACACAGAGCAGACAAAATCGTTTTTTCTCCATACAAATTCTTATATTTGAATCGATTTGAAGGCTACGCGACAATGTTTCTGCTACTTGTTCTCGTGACTGTGATCTCGAGTGCACCACCAGAAACTGCCATAAGGATTGTGATTCTCAGTTCTAGCTTTTTCTAATTGCATGATGATTTCGAACCCTTTTCTACCCTTCGCAATCTGCGGCCCTTCAATTCCATTGTAGTCGAGAGCCCAACTATACCTAATTACAACTTTGAGTTTTCCCGGCCCATCGCCTCTTTTGCCGAGGTGCTGAAAAACAGTACTTCGGCGATATAATAAGACTTTCAACACAGCTTTGGAAAGCCGGACGAAAATATAATGACATATGTCAGGGTCTATGTATTTAAATACAATTTACACCCTCTTAAGGGGTTGTCAACGTAAATTTTTTTTCCCGTGCTTAAAATTGTAATTGCACTCAACAATTTCTCTACTGCCTTCATACAAGGCGATACCCTTCTACTGACAATTGACAGCTATTGACACTGAGTCGACAAGGGTTTTTATTACTCAGCGGGCTTGTTGACAATTACATTTGTATCTCTTCACAAATAAGTTAAGTGAATACTGTGTTGCCAATATTAATATATTCGATTTATTGTAGTTCTTTTTCCTGTGTAAAATATATAATTTATTCAATTCGAGGTAGTTCTATGCGAACTCATTGTCTGCCTGTCGAGAGAAAAGGATTAACCTTTGTTGATCCGCATGAGTGAAACGTGAAGTGCAAAAATGAAATCAACCAAAACCGCAAGACACAAATCAAAACAACCCAGAATTAAGCCAGATTATACTACTACATGAAAAATTTCTGCAATTTGATTGGCTTAGACCAGTGGTGTACAAACCTTTTGTGGGTAGTAGTATAAACAAACGATAGCACGATTTGTACGTGATATTTCAAAATTGTCTCAAATTTTACTCGATTAACGGCTCGTGAAATTATGTTTAACAATTTCGAAATATCACTCGTGGTATTTATGCCAAATGTCACTACAGATCATGATATTACCTATACAAATTTTAGCTGCACTTTAAAGTTTCTCTGCACCGCATTTTCGATTCCGGAAATTTTAAGTTTCCTCTCTACGAAAAATACCTATTGAACGGTCATGTAGAAATTTTTAGCCCTCCTCTAATTATAGAAAATTCTAGGCAATTTTTGCTTCTCCGAACGAACAGATTTTTCACCGGACTTCTGAACAGTCGTTAGGTGGCCCTGTTTATAGTTCAATAGAAGGCCTTTAAATTATCGCATTTATGTTCCAACAAGGATCAAATCGCGGAGTTGCAAAGACCAATGTTTTCAGTGCAGGTTTGAAGGTAAAACTGAAAGGTGTTTGTCATTTAGACATCGAGGACATGTGCGTAGAATCGATTAACCACGCTCAGTTAAACTTCGTATCAACCGTTGAAAGCCTGCATCGAACGGCCCCGAATTGAATAAATTATAGTTTGCCCGGGAAAAAGAAATGCAATAAATCCAATATATCAAGATTGGCAACACAGTATTCACTTAACTTATTTGTGAAGAGATACAATGTAATTGTCAACAAGCACTGCTGAATAATAAAGCACCCTTGTCGACTCAGAATCAATTGGTGTATAGGTCTAGAAAGGTATTGCCCTGTAAGACACGCAATTAAAAAATTGTTGAGCATAATAGCATGGGAAAACATTTATGTCGACATCACCTTTAAAGGCAACGCAATGGATTTTCCTGGGTGGTGTTAAAAAGCGTTTCGAACTGATTGTACACAAGTTCTCCAATAGATACACAGCCGTTTTTAGTGTCGTCACGCAACGCTCCTCCCCACTAACTAACTAACTAACTAACTAACTTAGTGGGGAGGAACATTGCGTGACGACACTAAAAACGGCTGTGTAGCGGACTACCAATAGATAACGCAACATATAATCCGAACTTTAATTTCTTTGTAAATCGTACTTCAATACATAGACCCTGAAATGTGTCATTATAATATTTTCACCCGGCTTTATTTCCAAAACTATGTTGAAAGTTTTATTATATCGCCCGAGGTACTGTTTTTCAAAACTGTAATTAGGTATAGTTGGGTTCTCGACAACAATAGAATTAAAGGGCCGTAGATTGCGAAGCGTAAAAAGGCTTCGCGATCATCTTTCAATTACAAAAAGCTAGAAAGAGAATCACAATGGCAGTTTCTGGTGAAACGATCGAGATCACAGTACGAACACAAGTGGCAGAAACATTGTCGCGTAGCCTTCAAATATAAGAATTATAAGCGATTTTGTCTGATCTATGTTATCTGTTTCTGTAACCTACGAATGTAAAAGGATTTGAAAAAAATTGCTTAACCTCAATTAATTTTGTGTTTCTTCTTTCCTGTATGGTCTCAGAGCCAATATTATTGCTACTGAATTTATGGGTTTTATTTACACCGGTTTTCGGCCCTCTCATTTTGAAGCGACCGTTGTAACTGATATCAAACTAGTTTTTGTTCAAATCCTTTCACATTCGCAGGTTACAGAAAAAATCGTTTTTTTCTCCTTACAATTAAGTTCTCATATACCGAACTGGGGGTTACAAAAAAATGCCGAAGGTCATATTTCAAGCTCGGGTGACCTGTGGTACGAACTTGAATTGAATATTTCTTTCGATAAAGTTGTTTTATCTTGGAAGAACGTTTGTGCCTCCCATTTACATGGGTAAACCGGTCGAATTAAAGAAATATTGAATGAATGATCATTGTGGCGCGAAATAGAGATAAATAAAATGTAGATTGTCTATTGATTGGTACCCTGAATCTTCAAATCCGACTTTACCACGGCTAACAAGTGATAATGAGATGCAGTCTCCCTTTGCACCAGTGCGTGCTGCTGCTATTGGAATTCAATCAATCGGTCATGCTTTTTACCATTAATACGTCTTGCTGAATCAGATTCTATTTAGATATTGGACTAGCTCATACTAATTCCATGCACGATATAAAAGCGGCCACGACAATTTAAGGCTGCAGTTAGGTTTGAGTCAATTGAGGAGACGGAGGGTCTGAATTTTTCGCTTCTGAGGTCTTAGTTTTCGCCGCTCCCGATAAGCCAGATGGCAGCAACCAATAGTGCGTTCCGAACAGAAACAAGAGATGAGCATCTTTACAATCACATAGAGTTGTTCAATAGGTCGTCCTCACCAATCGATGCTCCAGCAGCAAACCGTTGCCAAGATTGCAGAGAGCGACAACCGACAGAAAATCAGATCGCGACAGGTCGGCGTATGTTCGGTGATTACAGAACAGAACCCAGCAATGAACACCTTTACTATAACATACAGTCAATCAATAAGCCGTCTTCACCCGCCACCGAAAGCCAAGGAGCAAACCAAACCTCCCAAGACGACAGAAGAGGGCAACAACCAACAGGAAATAGTAAGACGATGGGTCGGCGTGTGACATCAGCGGTTTTGGCCTTAGCCTTCCTGGCCATGCTTGCTTCATTGCTAGCATTGAAGTGGGAACTCGTAAAGTCATGTCGAACAAACGGTAATGTTTTAGATAGACATAGAATGATTTTCAGTGATCGTAGAAGGCCTAAAGCCGTTCGAAAACGGAGTCTCTATTTGGCTAATTTTTGATATTATATACTCTTGAAATGGTGTCCCAAATACTGTATTGATAGTTTTAAGTGCGAATTCTCTTTACTTTGAAAGATTTTGAGGAGTCCTTGAGGGGCCGCCATTGGTGAATGAAAGAGTACGCTTAAAATTGAAGAAATCAATAGTCTTAGCCTTTAATAAAAGGATCGTTTCGGTGAGTAAAAGCTAGTAAAATACGGAACTATGCTTTTCGGTCTATAATTAGTCCAGTTATCTAGGGCTGATTTAAACACATGGTCTGAAACGAGACTTAGCGTGGGTTGAAAAAAGTATTTGATAGGGCTCTGTTTACTTTAAATTGTGCTGAATCGGCAGACTTGGGCTTGCGTGGGTGAATTGGTAATTTGGGGCTGAAACAGGTCTTTTTTTGATTAACAGTGTTTTCAAGACATTAATTAAGGTTGATTCTTACATTAAAATAATATATATTTTAAAACCGTTTTACTAGATTGATCCGATCATCTTGCACTTTATTTTATTGCACACAGAGAAGAGTATTGGCCATCGTTCCTTTTCAAAACAAAATTCCGCACGTTTAATCAATCAATTAATTAATTCATTTATTCATTCGTTAATTAACATAGTAAGTGGGGTGGACCGGACATCCGAATTGATATCTAGTTCTTTCTAGAATGGATCTAGTGATATCGTTACCTGGGTGGGTGGGGGGGGTGTGGGGGGGTATTTGGGTATAGGTGAGCCGCTAAGGTCTTCCACGGCGTTTTGTGGAAGAATTCTGTCAGCTCTGCGAAAAAAAGATGGAGACAGTGGAACGAAAACGCAAAATAGACAGGGATTTGTATGTTGTTGAGGTTGTTAAGGTGGATACAACGCGAAAACAGCTAAAAATTCATTTCGTGGAATTCAGTCACGAATACGATGAGTGGCGTGATTACGATAATAAATGGAATTACTTTCCTTTCGTTCGCTTGGAAAAAATGTTTTTCCCCGAGGAAGGTTCGAGGTTGTTTGTTCGAGGCAACATTCATGGGCAGTTGTATCGTTGCCTGATTCCTTCAATATCTTCTCAATTATGTGTGCAAGAGCAGATTCCCTGGACTCTTCTTCGGCCTTTGAAATGGTATAAATTGGAAAGCTGCGGGAATAAATAGAAGAGACGAGGAATTATTAAATATCCGAAAATTTAGAAATCGAACTGTTTGAAAATATAATTAAGCTCCTATTAAAATATTCATCATCACTTCAAATTACTTACTTATTAATCTCGTAAGTATACGAAGGACCGTTCGGCTGGCTGAATTTCTCACCATTTTCGCTTTGAAAATTATCTTCAGCTGCAGAAACCGTCACGGTACAAGCGAAGAGAAGAAAGAGAGCAAGATGAACCTTCGAAGTCATTTTGCCCTGCCGAAATCTGCAAAAATTCCAACAAATTACATATCAAAACGCTGCAAATTAATTCAACCATTTGAATTTGGCGGTGCATTTATTATTCCGAGCATGCTCTGTCGAGCCAGTCCAGTTTTTCTCGACCCGCTACTTTCAAGACCGGTCACGCTTTTGTAAATTTACAATTTACAAGTGCCCCATCGAAATCTTAACAAAATAACCCAAGTTTTTCACCACTAGTAGCTTAGATAGCACTTAGTTCAATACCGGTGGTGCATTTGTGATAGATCTCCTACTTTGAGAAGGAAAGGCAATATTCTGCAGAAAATAGCGTGTTTTCAGCTCTATTTTACCGGAAGTTGAGGCCACCTGATGTGACATAAGGCAAATGTCGGATTGAGTTTGATATGTCCGACCAAAAAATGTAATTTTCCATACCAGTTTTCAGACCAGACCTCTAAAATCCATACCCGTTTTCAGACCTGGGCTTTAGGCAGAAATTATGTTATTTCTTACATTAGAGCGCAAACAAAAAAAATTCTTCAAATTCATTTCGAATTCGCATATTTTTCTCTTTCTTTCTTACTCATTTGAAATGGAAACGATTAATTTTTCATACTTTCCCGTAGTTCCCTCAAAAACCATACCCGATTCCAGACTAAAATGGGCGAAGTGTATACCCGTTTCCAGAGCAAAACAGCGCAAAAACCCTACCCGATGGGGCGGAACATGCCTATTTGGCTTATATAAGGGAGCCCCTCCCCCCCTGGGAATAGAAAAAATTCACGTCATAGTCATTGCTTTTGTTTACTTGGAGTACAAACAAAATTCATTCAGCAAATCAAATCAATCATGCAGATAATACCCTTCAGGCAGACTCACACGAATAGGACAGAGAGGTCAAAAACCATACCCTGACCAGCGGCACATCCCTGTACAGGCTATATAAAGGAGTACCCCCTGGGTATCACTTATGAGTTGGGTGATATTTGACCCCGCCTATCATTATCTCTGTGGCTACACGCTGATACAACGCTGATCGGACCTGCCCTCTATTGTAGTTATGAGCACTTATCAAGTTGCGCCTTATTAACTTTGGAGTTGTTTCAAGAACTCACTTTACCTTTCTACGGTTTTCGAATAGTCCGAAGGGGGTTAGTGCCAGTACTGTTTCAGAATCAAAGGATATTCATTCATATACTTTCACAATATTGCCAACCTATATTGGGCATAGGCATATAAAGTGACGTCAATAAGGCAGTCCACTGACGGAAAAAAGGCCAAGTAACCGAAAGGCCTAGGGCGAAGTTGTGTTAGCTCAGCTGTTTTGGTAGAAAATCCTTCAACAACAACGACCGAGACCAGGTTTTATGAGCCCGCGAGACTGAGCACCCCACCCAAACCTTTGCTTTCACTAAAACCGCTGGACGTCACATCCTGGTCACCCGATTCAGGTCGTTGTTATCTAAGCTCTTTCGTTTTGGTAGCGCTGTTGAAAATGGCCGAAAATTTCACAAGTTTTGCGAAATTAAACATTGATAGCAAAGGCATGCCGGCTCCCCTCGCGCCAAGTGGAAGAAACGGTAATTTTTTTAGATAGTTATGGAATAATTATCAGTAATCGTAGAAGGTAGAAGGTTCGAAATGGGAGTCGAAGTTTGCCTTGCTACGGTACTTCGTCGAATTTGGCTAATTTGTTATGTATTGTTGGTTTTCACACGGACGTCACTAAAATTCAAACTAAAAAACTATAGATCCTACCGAGATTTTACTTTCACGATGCATTAGAGCAGCTGAAAACTAAATTTCATACAAATTTTCGCTCCAAAAGGGTTCTTTGTTTTGTAATAGAGTACGCTTGAATTTCTAAGCTTTTGCGTGACGCGGCATTTACATGACGGCCAAGAGAACTGTCATGTAGGTTAAAAAAATGACTTATTTCAGGAGGTTTTGCTATCTAAATAGTTCATGTCTTAGAGAAAGTATTACTTTAATGTTTATGAGTTTCTCGAAGAATAAATCCACGCTTTTGTAGCAAAACTCGGTAACAGATGTTTCTGTTGGTTTCCGTCCGCCATATTGGAGGTCATCTAGGTGAGCACCAGCATGGCGTCTCCAAACAAACCTCTATAAATTTGGGTAAAACGTTTCCTCGGATATCTCGTATACATAATATTCCTATGACCTGAATCTTGGCGAGGGTCTTTGTATGTGTACCTCCTTTCATTTCCCAGATTGTGGACTTTATCTATTGAACGGTTTTGATTTTTATTTTGATCTATTTTTAATGGCGTGACACTGAAAACCAGCAATACTCCTGAAATGGTGTCCCAATTACTTTATTGATATTTTTAGGTGCGAATTCTCTTTACTCTGAAAGATTTTGAGGAGTCCTCGAAGTGCCTCCATGGTTCAATGAAAGAGTTCACTTAAAATTGAAAAAAATTATCCTTTAAAAACATGCGTCCGGTTTAGTAAGTAAAAGCTAGTAAAATACGGAACTTTTGTTTTCGGTCTATAATTAGTCCAATTATCTAAACACACGAGACCTAATTATTTAAACACACGAGACCTAGCGTGGGGTGGAAAAGACATTTGATAGGACTGTGCTAGAATGGCTCCAAGAGAGGCTGAATGGGCAGACTTGGGTCTCCGTGGGTAAATTAGTCTATGGCTGAAACAGATCTTTTTTAATTATGGCTGCATGATTCTTATATAAAAATAATATACATTTTTATAACCTATATTCTAGATTGATCCGACCATTAGTCACTTTATTTTATTGCACGCAGAGAATGGTATTGACCATCGTTCCTTTTCACTACAAAATTCCGCATGTTTAATCAGTCAATCAATTTCAATCAATCAATCAATCAATTTATTTACGGCAATACGTGGGATGGGGTTGCCCCGATCATCCGAGCCAGAGGCTCATGTATAAAACGCATGACAATAAAAATACTAAGTTAATAAAGATAGAATAAGAATAATTTAAAAAGATCATAAATGTATGAGAACAAATAACAATAATGTATCCGTGAATGCTAGAAGCTACACCCTCCGGCATCCCACTTAATTAATTAAAAACTAAAAACATTAAGAATAAGTTTAAAACCCTAAGGGGAAAACAAATTAGATCGACATAGTAAAACCCTAAGATATACAAAAATTACATTTACAACTGGCTCTTAAGATTGTAAGATTAAAAGATCTTAAATGCGTACGATATTCACTCAACTCAGTTGATCTCTTAATGTAAGAAGGAAGCTGATTCCACAAATGCGAAGCCTTGTAACTGAAAGAATTGTGATAATACCGACTATTATAGGATGGTTGAGTGAGACTGTGTTCTCTGTTCCTTTTATTTATGCATTCGTTAATTTATTAATTCATTAATTCAATCATTTATTTATTAATACAGGAGCATCTTATTTAGCTCTAAAATAGCTGGTTTATTTAACAGCGACTAAACTGAGTCGTGTAATAACAAATAAAGGCCATAAAAAAGATTGATCAGTTGATTGATTGATTGATTCACTCTCTAACATTTGGTTTCGGTAAAAATTTCACGAGTTACAAAACTTCTATACATGAAAGTCGAATTGAAACAGAAGTAAATACTGCAAATACTGTAAAATCAACAAGTACAGACGATAAAATCTGGTGAACAGTTTGCTTAATTACCTACTGGCCAATTTTCACTTAAAAATAGCTTTAGATTCGGTAGCCTGGGTACAGACAACTCCTGGCCTCAAAAGAAATCGGAGAGAGAGACTATAACAGATCAGATAGCCTTTCGCGCCGGCACGAAAAGCCTTATGGTGTATATAGTGTGAACACCTATCCGATATGTTACTCTCCACTTTAGAGATCGGTCAGCTTTAATAGGCCACTTGCACTAAGAGGTCATGTGACCAATGCTTCCTTTAAACAATGAGTTGGAATCTTTCCGATGCCAAAAATTGAGAGAGCACATAAAAATTATCTTACACTCGAAATTTGAGAGGAAACACATTTAAGGGAGATATTTTATGGCACTTTGATTTTTCAACAAAGTAGTATGATTTGTATTGGCCGCCATGTTGGATGGCATACTCTTGCCCTCCAACATGGCGGCCAAAACTACTTTTTAACTCGTGGGTACGCGCGAGCGTACCACGAGTTATTGCAGGGACTGAGATATGCAAATAAGTCACTCACTCACTCGTAGTAGACGCACTTCGTAATTAATCGGGTCCGAACTCGAGAGCGCGAAGATCTGTCGTTTCCAAAGAACGACGCGCTCGCCGAAGTTCGGTAGCATCAAATTCCTCGCTGCGAGCGTGCATCGTGCGCTACAGCACGGTTAGGATAGAGGTCTTACCAAATTCAAGATAGGCACGAATCTTTCAAATAAGTACGATTCAAAAGCCTTTGACCCGTCCAGGCGTTAAACTTGACAAGAAGATGAGCATTTGCTCTTGGACTCCTTCAACTTCGACGCTGGCTTGATCTCCTACCTTGTAGCACTGTAGTAGGTTATGTGTATGAATGAATTTATGGCGGTCAGTATAAAACACGGACTGCGAACTACGGACTGCGGACTGGGTATAAAATGCGGACTATAAAATACGGCCTGGTGAAATGTATGGTATTTTCTTCTTAAGGACTCCCCAAGATCACGGGGGGAAAATGGATGTGAGTTTGAGCATTACCTTTTTAAAATAACAGCGGAAATCGAAATAAGAAAACATAAGCTAATGTTTTGCGTCCTACTTCGCGGAGGAGTTGTGTCAGCTTTGTATGAAATGCGTTTACTTGTCAGTAGCCTGGTTTCAATTAGCCTTAATTTCATCCCATTGTTTCGAGTCGTTTTTATTGCTTGATCTTTCTCCCCGGTCGTTTGCCGGCGGAAGTTTCATGGAAAAGGCATTAAATTTGAGACTTTTCGCCAAATCATGTGACCATCCTCAATGGCGTAGTGGCTATGTGAGGTCGGGTCAATCCGAAGGTACTGGGTTCAAATCCCGCTAATGACCTTCTTTTTGCCTTCTTCCTTTCTTTTTCTTTTTTGTTTTGTCTTGTTTGCTTATTTGTTTTGCTGTTTTTTTTTTTGTTTTGTTTTTAAATATATACTTAAATAACTGTTACTAAAGTGCAATAAACAGCAAGAAAAGTATTGTGTTTCCAGAACAAGGATAGTATATTTATAATATGAATTTCTATCATTTTCTAAAATTCACTGTGGGAAAACCAGAGGTGATAACTAATTGATTATTTTCTAAACAACGTACCCACGAGTTGACGCTAGTCTTTCTTTGATTGCTTATATCTTGTCAAAAGTTTGATAGCTACGCTCAGATGTGCTGTAAACGTTACCGTCACCTTTTCAACATTTTCCTTG